GTCGGGGGACGATGCGGGCCCCCCCCCCCCCGCTCGGCAGGCTCAGCCCCGGCCGAGCCTCTGCCACCGCTCCGGGCCTCCGAGGAGCCCAGGGGGGCTCCCGCGGGCAGCCCAGCCCCCCCAGCCTGCATCTGCGCCCCGGGGCCGCACGCCCAGCCTTGCCCACAAATAACGCATTTGCAAAAGGAACGCCGTTGACCTGCCATCTTCCCCCTCTGCCCTGCTAATTTTTAGCTTGCTTGTGCAACCATCGCGGAGCAGTTAGTTCACACCCAAGTGGTCCCTCGTGCCACCTCTCCCAGCGATAACAAGCCCCCGGGTGGGTCCATCAGCTCTGCCGTCCCTCGGAGCAGCCCCGGCGTTTATTAATGACAAACAACCCAGACTTTCTCCAGCTGCAAACCAGAAGCAAGCACAGCCCCGGGAAGGAGCCCCGCCAGCTCAGCCTCCCTCCTGCCAAATTGGATTATCCCGCATTAGCAGCAGGGGCTGTTCGAGCCCCTCCATTCGCATTTGGTTTTGCACAGGAGCCTTTTATGCCTTACAGAGATGTTTATGGGAAAGAAACAGCAAATGATTTGGTTTTCTCTTAATATACTGCCAGCTGGCAACTGGGAAGACTGTACGAAGAGGGGTTTATTTCAGACAGAGCTCCCCAAGGCAGAAGAACGTTCCTGAAAACCAATGGCACGTTTACTCGCACAGCTTGGCGGGGTCCTACAGACCCCGAAGGTCTGCTGTCACCCAGAGCACCGGGACGGGCCAGTACGATTCCCAGGACACCTTCCCTAGACAGGCAAGCCACGGGCTCGCGAGACAAATATCTCACTCATAAAAAGGCACCATGAATAAAAGGGACTCCAAAGCGATGGACAGACCATAAACCTCCGCAGCAGTGGCTCTGGCTGCTCTGTGCCGCGGTTAAAGCACATGTGATAAAATAGTAACAAAAAGATGCTCTCGGCTTCCAAATGAATGAACAGCTTTATGCGGATCACAGGGGGAAGAAGCGCCCCTGAGATGTCACACTGCAATCTCTCCTTCCCACCAGGCACCCAAATGCTCAGAAACAGTCTAAATGCTGAGAAAATATGGACTTTTTTTTTAAGAAAACTAAAAATCACTCCAATCCCCATCTGAAAAGGGTTGTTTTCCAGACCCCAAAAACTTTTTAAAAGTTTCAACTTAGAGAGTTTGGTTTACTACGGAAAGGCCACATTTTCTGCCGGAGAAGGAAGGACGGACAGGCCGACGGGATGCCCAGCACTGCCCCACGTCCGAGCCGTCCCCGCTCCCCCAGAGCTCTCTGCCAGGCACCAGCCTCAAACCTGGGGTTCGCGCGTGGCTCCGGCAACCAGCCCTGCACCGGCCCCTACCCCGGGCAGAGGGGCTGCACAAGCCCCCTGCCCTTGCTGCTCCTCACAAAGCCCTCCTCGGCCTTCGTGGGCTCTGCAGTGTCACTTAGCTGACAATTCATCCAGGTTAACTGCGCAAGGGGATTAGCAGCATGGCATGAACCCTTCTGTGCACAGTCTCACTTGAAAGGAAAGAGTAGATTTACAATACACAGAATTAAAGCCATTTAACTGAGTCAGAAAGGTTACACTGGCTTTTAATGTGTTTTAGATAATCTACTTTAAATTCACTGTTTCATCTCATGAAGATCTGCCTCCCTGAGTATCCCTGTGCAGACAAACCCCAACTCATCTCACTCCTGCCATGGAAGACAACTACGACACGGGCTGCAGACCGGGTCTCCCTCACTCCGGAGCGGGGAAGGCAGCCGGCCCCAAGCCCCAGCTCTCCTCCCAGCTCTGCCAGGGCGCTGTGGGATCTGGGTGGCATTTAGCTCCTGTCTCACGCAGATAATTTGAGGCTAAATACTTTCCCTGTGTTTAAACTGCTCGAAGATGCTCAGATGAAGGAGAAAGCGGCAAAGCACGGCAGCAGCTCAGCTGAGCTCGCCCAGGGATCTGCTCCCTCCCAGCAAACTCCCTGCCAGCTCCGCGCCTTCGCCGCTGTCTCCTGATTTTTCTGGGAGGTATTTTGGTAAATGAAGGGCATTAAAAATTCCCTTCTGGTCCTGCAGTTCTTATTACTTTCAAGTAAAATAATAATCCTGCCTTGACTAAAAGCCCCTGGAAGTTACAAAGACACAAGTAATGACCTGCCAACACCACACTCAGCTTCAGGCTGCTTAATAACCACTTGCAAGGCTCACAGGCATTTCGAGACAGAGTCTCACAGCCAGAGGAGAGAGCTGTCGGGTTTAGTGCCCTTTAGCCCCCCAGTCTCAAAATGCCTCCAAGCCAGGGGCAAGGTAGGGGGGTTAAGATGAACCAAGCAAGGTAACCGCTTGGGAAGGCTTCCCGACGCGGCGTTCATCCTCTAAGGCATGAGATGCACCATGGTTCCTACCATATTGACAGTGAGAAACTCATCCCCCAAAATAACCTGATGTGAGAAGGACAGATGGGAGGAGACGAAAAAAGAAAGTAAAGAGGGGGAGAAGGAACGAGCAAGAGGAAGGGGAAAGGGAGAGGAAGATGCACGCGTCCCGCTGGCAAACACGTGCGAGAGGGGAGGGCGCGCTCAGAGCCGGGGAAGGACAGCCCCCGGCTGCGGGACGGGGCAGGGGTGACCCCAGGGAAGGGACTCGAGCCCCCAGCACCCCCGGTCCAGAGGAAGCTCAGCAAGCTGTGCTGGCGGGCACCCAGAAAAGCCACCGACTGCTCCAGGCACAGGCTGACAGCTGCCTGCTGGCTGGAGAAGTGCCACGGGAACAAACCCTCCCGCCACCGGCAGCAAAGCACGCCGTGCAGGCAGGCAGGCAGCGCACCGGCAGCGTGAGCGCAGCTGCCTCCACCCCACCGAGCGACACCTCAAGAGGCTCTTGTTTAACCACAGAGCTAGTTTTCCTTAGCCTTCCTCTGCAAAACCTACTTCACAACTAAAATACATAAAGTTTAGAAACAAACAAGGCACGGTGCCAAAAAAGCAGCGTTGCCCGTTGCAGCCGGAGGAGCCATTCCCAGCCCAGTGCCCGGCAGCTCCTGGCACTGCCTGACATTACCTTCCAGAAAGTCTTGGCTCTCCCAGAGCTGGGGGCACTGCCAAGCCTGGGCACTGGGCTCTGCTTGCTGGGAAAAAAGGCCCTACAGATGCTGAGGCTGCTCTAAGGCACACCTCCCTGCCTTTCCTAATGAGCTAAAATGTCCCTGCGGTCCCATCAAGCAGCTGAGCATTGCAGAGGAAGGACTGGGCACGAGGTTGGAGGTGGGCTGCGAGACCCTGCTCCGGCACGCTCCCGCACAACCGCGACGGCCGGGCTGGCAGCTGGTGCCCGCTCAGAGGCATGGCCATGCCTGGCATCCCACTCTCACCACAAGCAGGAAAGCCTCCACTGGAGGAGGAGGAACGTGCTAATCTCCATGCCCTGATGGG